AGAGAGAGAGAGAGAGAGAGAGAGAGAGAGAGATCGCGACGAACACATTTTGGTTCAAGTTTGTTGCGGTTTTCGGTTTCGACATTTTCTATCAACAATTCAATGACACAAATTACTCAAGTTTTAGTGAAGAGTGAACGCACGACCGGAGACAGAGATAGAGACAGTCAGAAAGACATTCGAATCAATTACGTACCCTTGGTTAATTCAATCAAATGTTTGCTTTATTTAGCGAGCACATAGTACTCGATTCTAAATGGGCTTCATTGGCTTGACATGCGGCTTGGTGCGATGCTGACAATCCATTTTTCTAACCAAACATTTTAATGCCGTTCTTTTCGCGCGTCTCATTCTCTCTTTTTCTATTCCTCGTTTTCTCGCCCATTCGATGGAAAATTATGTTTACTCTTTAGTGAGCATTGAACAACGACGGCACGGCTCGGAAGCAACACCACAACTGCAATGGCAAAGGGGCAACAGAAAAAAAACCAAAATTATAACAATGTTCCACATGAGAAAATGCCTAATGACAGCTATTTTTCATGTGTATAATTTTAACACCATTCCATTCCGGGGCACACACACACTCACACGCACAAACCGAACACTGTATGTAATATCGTTGTTTAACTAAGTACTACAAAATTGAATCAATGAATGATTTTGTCATTTTTAAATGAAAACATTTGTCCACCAGACTGGCGGCGTTCCCTTGTTTATGAAATTCGGTCGTTTTTCGAAATAATCCGTGTTCTATCAAGTGATCGTTGCTTCGAAAATATATGAATGGTCAATTTGTCACAGAATAAACTCATTCATGGCGTAAACCAAGTGAAAAATTGGGCCAGCACATGAATACAATTGATTCCGTAAAGATGTTCCTAGTAAATGTGACAGGCGGCCCGCAATGATGATGACGATTCGAAAGGAAAGGCGAAAGCACTTAACACATTTTCTAGAATTTCACACATTTGCCACCGGCTGAAAAACGTAGCAGCTCACGAGATAGGCATCTGCAAAGGTATCAATATTACACACAGTTGTATTTACGTTCCATTGTGATGAAGCGTTTACTGGCTCACGCCAAACGGCACCGTCAAAATGAAGATGCGGTGTATTTGTAAAAGAAAACGGTACGAGTACGCGCACGAGCGAGCCAGCAAGCGTGTACACGCGTGAAATCCACAACTTCATCATCCTAATTGGCTGTCTGTCGACCGATTTGCAATGCAATGTTTATTTGATTTCTATTTATAGTTGACCAACCACGAAATGACAAAACTACCTATTTAAATGGCGCAAAGAATCCACACTCGAATTGCGACTGCGTGCGCATGTGTGTGACTGTGTGTGTGTGCCATTGCAAATTGGCCATTTGTATCGTCCGGTTTTGTTGTTTTTAAACGCAAAACAAATAAAACGAGACAATTCGGCACATATCGGCGACATTGATTTCTAACAATCTCTTCAGCAGCAAATGTTCGCTAAGCAGTTATGCGTTATGCTATTTGTATTGTGACTTTCTAATTAATATTAAATGTTTGACGCTTGAAAAGTAATATTCTGCCCGAAATGACACGAAATATACGTCGAGGGAGAGGGGAGATGATGCCATCAATTCTGGGCTAGCATAAATTGTTCGATTTCTATTTTGAGCATATTTCCATCGTTGGCACTTCTTGGAGACGCAAGAATCTCGTGAGTTTGGACGAAGAAGAAAAATAAGAGTCGAAAAGTCATGTGGATTACATATGCACTGTGCTAACCAATTCAATTAACACATCCAACAAAATTACTACGCAATTGGCACGAAATATTTTGTAACGAAGCCATCGAATCGGCTCGTAAATGTGTGTAGGAACACCAAATGGAGAAGCAGCACCGCCGGAATAGACAGTCGTCGTGAGAAACGAACTTGTAGGTTATTGAAAATAATTATGACGCAGATATGATCTGATGCATCAAAAAATCATCGACCAGATCGTATTTTCAATGAATTTTTTAACTGTGTCTGAAAATGTGTTTTCGGTGTGAAGGTTTTTGAAGAAGTCATTTTTTTTTTTTGGTTATTCATTACTTTGAATCTTTAGTTTTTGAATCAGACTTTTTTGGTTACCGAAGGAGAAATGTTTTTACTATGTAAGATTCTTCTAAATGAAACAACACAAATTCTTTGTTTACGCTACTAGATACTAAACTTCATCTACAATTTCTATCCTAAGCCACAAAATGAAAAAAAAATTGTGAAGAACTCATTCCTTCCTCTTCCCAAACGAGTTTGTCATTTGGCTTAGATCTTCATGAAATTACTTCATTTCCATTTGCTTCACAAGTTCAAATTCTGTCATTCGTAAAAAATCACAAATTTCACCAACAATAGCCGATTTCTTGGAGATCATTGCATTCGTTTGTCATCGTGGACGTCGTTCTAATTCATCACAAACAAATGAAAGTGCGTGAATAACGAGATGTAGTTGAACAAATGATCATGAATTAGACGACGCATGCCTTTCCACTTACATACTTTTTGTCCGTATGGCATTCGCCGTTTTGGAGACAGAGAAAAAAAGCGAGAAGAGAAACAATCATCGGTCACACTTCAGTATGATGAATTAAATGTGTTGTTTGTAATTGTCGTTGGTTTACAATCTCATTTGAATGGGCAGATATTCGGATAATTCCGTCGAAACCAAACAATTAGAGAGGAAGAAAAAAAACAAATTAAATAACTATTGTGATCAGGTATTTCATTACATGGGAAGAGTGAAAAAAACCGTATCCATATGTTTTCACTTCCAGTTGAATATGGGCCATGGATTCAAGTGTGCAATATTAAAGCAGTCAATAAACCGTGAATTAACATCCATAATAATATTTCAACGGATGAACGATGTTTCATTTACTTTATGGCCCTTATCGACGCTGCAAAATCGCACACTCACTGCATCTTCCGAAACAGGTTGTTTTTGATTGAATGTATAATAATAATGTTTTTTTTTTCTCTGCGCTGCTATTGTAACAAATGCATTCTCATTCGCTGAAAATGTGTAATTTTCGTCACGAGCCTTTGTCGAAGCGTTAACGTCGCGTGGCGAGTGAGAGCAATAGCAGCAGAAGTAGCTACCGGACGCTATAAACGTGTTTGTTGCATCTGCTATCTTTGATTCGCATCGCCGATAAAAGCGAAGATAACCGAAATGTGCCAAGTATTATTCAATTTATATCGACGAATATTGATGTATTGATCCCGATCCGGTCGCAACCGGAAATTCAACATCATATATCGAGAGAGAAGGTGGGAGAGAAGAAAAGAGATCACACAAATATGATTTGATAGAAGAAAAAAAGTGAAATTTATATAGGGCGCACATGTGCCGTTATGATGACACCGTGGTGTCAATATTTGAGACAAACGTGAATAATTTGAATATGGAAATTATCGCCTGTTTTTACATGGAACAAACAAAAAATTAAAATGCATATCGATGTGTTGTCTTCCGAAGAAAGAAGTTCTTTTTTTCTCTCTCTTTGTAAAATACATTGAACGAATTCTTGCGTAATTTTCCGAGCTAAAAGCGATTAGCATTTACCGAAGAATATTACAAATGGTATGTTGTTTCTTGGAAACTGTCACACGAAGAACTATCGGAAGAAGATACGATGTCTTTGCAATGGGTCAGAATGAGTAATAGTGCTTGAATGTTGTCGTACACATAAAATAAATCATTTCGTTGGTCATAATAAATAATAATGATCGAAATTACTTCATCGAAAGCAAAAAAATATTTCAGCGACAAGCTGGAACAAAACACGAAAAAAAAAATACTACGACGAATAAAAGCGAAAAACCCTAACTTATGAAATTGTGTCATTTGCAAGGTTTAGCACATAATAAAAGAACTGCATATAAAGTAAGCCATAATTAAATCAACGACGAAAAAAAACACACACACACACAGCACAACAACCGACGGATTTTCAGCAAATAGAATAGAAATAGACACAGGAAAAAATGCGACGAGAGAATACACAAAAAAAAATGGCAACGACATGCACTGCAAAAATGACAATCGAAAAAAACAAACAAATGGAATTGTATGCGAAAGGCACACACTATCTCTTCGTAACGATAATAAAAAAAAACGGTTTTGCATGGCACCAAACTATATACACAATAAATTTGTTGTAACCAACATGAGCACATAATTATAATTGTTTAGAGTTGTAAAAATTTTCATAAATGCACAAAACATAAAAAATTAGATGGAAAAGAACAGTGAAGAGAGGAACACAGAGAATGAAGAGAAAAAGAAACTGTGTCGAGTGCATGGGAAATGTGCAACATTCTCGGTCGCTGCTTTCCGTTTCTAGTACCATTATTTTTGCGATTGTGTTTTTTTCTTTGCCGATTCTCGCACACTGGCCAATGAGTACAGTTATAACGTTAATAAGGTACCAGCTAATTGGAGGGCTTTTGGATTTGATCTTTTTTTTTCATTAGAAGACATGAAAATGAGTTGCGATCGGGATAAATAATCCTCATTATTATGAACGATTGAGTAAATTGGCTGTTTTTAATGGTTCTTCAGTTCAATTAGAAGAAACAAAAATTGGTTCAACTAATGCTTCTCAATGTTGCACCTCATTTGAGCATGAATTGCACTTGTGCAATCGGCCTGCGCGAAGTAAATTTAACAATAATTTTTTTTTTCGACGCTTGTACAATACAACACAACAGTAAATTAAATATTAACTCACCTGCTACTGCACACTGTGTGTGCGCTCTTTCTCTCTTTCTCACTCGCCCACCACTGAATTGAATTGTCTTCGTTAATTCCATATGTATCTCTCTATACACACGCAAAACGTTGAAATTCTCTATCACAAAATTCTCATACAATATTTTTTCAAAGTTGAAAAGACAATGGTGTTCGTTCAAAGCGCCTATGAATTCATAAATTGTGCATGTTCTTTGTGTATTGAGGAACAACGACGTTCAAGATACACACGTACCCTATGGACGCAGCTCGAAAAGAATGAACGAAAAAAAAGAGAATAAAATAAAAGCAAATACAGAGCGCGAGCGCGGTTCAAAGAAGAGACAAACGGAAAAACGCTGTCGATATAATTACCGAACAAAAAGATAAATACAACGCGTTAATACAAACAAATTTGCATAAGTTTCAAACTTATTTTAGGTGCTTTATTCCATTGCTACTGCGTGCTCGAGAGCGCACCCGCTCACACACAAGCTCGATTGCTTTGGAAAATTGAATTTCAAAGTAGAATTTTTTGCGCGCGAGTTTTTTTTCCTCCTTCTTCTTCTTCTTCTTTTTCTTCTTGCTTCGTTATTTTTATAACATTTTTTTTTCTTGTATTCTTTACTTTCGGCCACCATTGTTGAATTTATCTGTTCTTTTGTTTCGATTTCTCTTTTTATTTTTTTCCAAAAGAAAAGAAATTATTTCGTTCACACCAACACAAAATGAACTGGGGTTTTACCAGCTTGTTGACGCTCAGCGCACAATTCGATTTATCACCTGTGTACAACGACAACGTTGACGACAATAACGTACAAACGTGTCAGACGGTAAAAATTTAAATGTACCGCATTTCGACAGGTGGTTAGCCATTTTATACTCCCGCATATCGGGCCGATTCTCTATGTGTTGCTGGGGTTGAATATTGATAAGTATGCGCGTCTCTTCATTTTTGGTCGCAATTCAACATTAAAAAACATGCATACGGCCAATTATTATGATTCTATTTGAATAAGTGGAAATACATGCGGCCAAAGTGCGTAAACACATCGGGATTTTCGTGAAAAGGTTTAATGATGACGAATCGCAATTGATATCGAAGCGCCCGCATATCAATTATCATGGGCTGACATTTACTTTTCAACTAAGGTGTTGTTGTTTTTTTTTCTCTCGGTATTTTCGCCATAAAATCACTTAGGGTTCCCTTTAACATGAAATTGGGTCCGTTATTTGATCAAACGTGTGTGTTGTTGATACAACCTAAAAATGACTCATGTTTAGCAGCAATTAGATTTGAAGCCGATAATGAATTCGATAATGGTGCGCGATGTATATGTGGAAGAGTCAAACATGCATCTGATAACGGTCAAATAGATTTTGTAAGTTTCAACAAGATTACAGCGAGCGATTAGTAGAGAAAGAAGCCCATTTGAAATTGCCGAAATGATTTATTTTCGCGCACCGCTTTGCAACAAATTTTATTACAATTTTGTTTTTATCGAAACAACGATATTGTGCCGCATATCGATATTGATTAGAATCCAGTTGAATCGACCATAAATTACTTTGTGTACGCTAAACAATCTAAATGTCGATATTATTTATTGCTTTTTTAGTTTGACTCGTTGATAACGAATATGGGGCCTTTGATTTTCAATGGAATTATCCATATCATATGCCGCTAAGATTGATAGACGGACACTTTTATTTGTTACACCTGCGACAATTTGCGCCATTTGTCGATGACATCCATATTTACCGACTTTTTTTTTGTATGTCTTTGCAACACATTTCCACCAAATGGGAAATGCGCATAAATCGCATCGCGTTTTTTCTGCTTTTTTAATTAAGAACACGGAAAAAATTAAATATTTATCACAAGCACTCGATATTACCTGATGAAATCATGAACTTTAATGAAATTGAATGATTGCAATTGGTTTCGATCGAATTGATTCGATAAAATTCAAACAGATTGTTTAAATGTGTGTATTTCCTGCGATTTGCGCAACTCTATCCAAGATACAATTTTAACAAATAAATTTCAATTTCGCCGATTCGCGCAACCTGTATGATTTGCCGTTATGTGCGGCCATTTCTTGTTACTATTAGCTTTGGTTAGTCGCAAAACAGCGATAACTGTCGTTCATTCGCAATAATAAATGGAATTCCATCGCTAGTCAAAACGGTCGAAATAATGTTAATTAAAGTGGGCAACACGTTGAAAAGGATGACGTGTTGCTGTGTACTTGATCGAATAAAGCGCAAACTATTTCTTCAAATCAATTCAAATGAATTATGAAATGTTTCGTTTAGAATTTCACACACTAGAACAACATACATCATCGTCTGAACAATGAGCTCGTAAAATGCATTCGGAATGGGCTCTCTGGTTTGTGAACACATGAAATATGTATAGGTACAAACAACACAATTATAAATTTTGTTGTGTCGTTGTTCGTGATATGCGCATATAAATTTTTTTTTCTTCTCTCAAAAACATTTCGATTACTAGTTCTTTTATGGGCTCATTTTTAATGCTTTTGTGCGCAATTTTAATCTTCACGCTAAAACTATTCGATTGAAATGCATTTTGAAATTATATTTTCTTTGCCACCGCTGTTTGGGTATGAATGTGCACAAGAAAGAGTCTAGGAAATGGAATAGGGCAAAAAAAGTATTGGAAAACCTCTTCAAATCAATGATTTCATAAAATCCAACGAATAAAACGGATATAAAATAACGGTTGCGACTTGCGCTTGCTCATCACGATACAATGCATATCGCATAAATGTGTAGTAGATTCTAGGCTTTTTCGCTTATCTTATCGCATAGGTGTTGTCAAACAAATATGTCTCGATAACAAAAATTATAAAAATGGTTGAGCGCTTGACGAGCGCACGACGATCTGTTCAATTTAATTTAGCTCATCATCCAGCTGACGAAGACGTTGGTGCGTGTGTATTGTTCAAATATCGGTTTCTAGTTATTTGTTTAAGAACGTCTGTTCCCTTACACCTTTTTTTCCATCCGCGTTGTCGCGCTGATGTCGTTATTATCGAAGTCACATAGAGACCAAATATGTTTTTTTTACCAAATTAACTTCTTCTTTTTCGCTCGCTCGCTCTCTCTCTCACTCTCTCTCTCTCTCTCTCTCTCTCTCTCTCTATATCTATCTATCTATCTATCTATCTATCTATCTATCTTTTTCTCTCAAAACAAATTGGTTATGATTCAACAACATAAGGAACAGAACATGTTTTATAGAACAAACGATTTAAACACATTTTTTTCTCGGTAGATTTTGTCTCCCTCCAACAAAAATAGAAAAAACAACATATTTGGTTGTCAACGCATAGACCACATCAATTTAACGATGTCAATCGAGTACAGATAATAATCGGATCACTTGAAAAAAAAATGCTATGAGCAATTTTACACCGATGAAAGTGTATGCTCGATCCAGGGGGATACACCTTTATCATAAATGTGACCGTTATGTGTAGCTGTTTTCGAGAAATAATTTTTGTCACCGCCGGATATACATTGTTAGTTTGATAGTTTTTCGCGTTTATTTTGTTACAGATTTTTACAACAGTTATTTTTTCGTCTCTTTCATACTATGAAAAGCGGCCATTGTATCGGCCAAAACACCATTTGCCAAATACTTGCCAACCTTGCCTTAGCAAATATTTGAATCTTGTCTATTTTCACAAATGTTCTGAAACACCTCAATTTAAATTGAATGCCGTATAAACTCCGTATTCTGTATTCTTACTGTTAACCTCAATTCAGGCATTCGATAAAAATAAGTTTGTACTGTAAAATGGCCCATTTATCATATCATCGTAGTTGCCATGCTTAGAAAAAATGTTAAAAACTTACCGATTTATGTGCCGATGTCGATGCTGTTGCTGTTGCTGTTGACGACGTTCCTTTGGAGAGTTCAAGCTCCTGTCGTAACCTTGCAATCTGGAATGAAATTGATTTTATAAAAATACTTTCACTATAAAACACCGTAAGCGATTCGCGCAAAGTGGCTATTTTAAAGTAGATAGTGAGACGATTTGCGACGAATTTTCAATGATTTCTTAAGATTGAAATGATGTTACAAAATTATCACGTAATCGCCCAACTTGACAGGCAGATAAGAAAAACCTGTATTTACTTGGGAATTTAACGGAGCAATCGTTGTATGAGTGATTCATTTTACTTCACGTGAACGTTTCTACTTATCTCACGATGTCTCCATTGAAAACAATCGCAGGCCGCAAGATAATACCAAACTTATGGATCGTGTAAGCCGATTCTATATTCACCATCGCAACGAAATTAAGAAACTTGTTCAAACATTAAATGCTCGGAAAACAATGAGACAATTTCAGAAGCATTAAATTTGTCTAGAAAAAAGGGCGTTTGAACCAAAAAAGAGTCGTTTCTTTCATTCACCTTCTTCGAGTCTAATTTGAATTCTATTTAACCACTGATATGACACATTTTGTGCAAACAATTTTACGGTCGGTAAATTTTCAGTGATTTTCAGCTTTACATATATTCTTTTTATTGTACAACATTGTTGTTGCTTGAAAAGCAGTTTAAGCCCAAGTCAAACAAAGGCAAATCGTTATCAGTGAGTTCCCATGATTTCCTTGCGTTTTTATGCTTTCGCTTTTTTCGATTCACAGCGTGTTTTTTTTATCTATGCGTATAATACCATTGCCGGCTGGTGTCAAGAGACACCAATGAGGCGACACACACACACACAAATTTCACTTACTTCGTTATCTTTTGTTTCGCACAGTGAATTCAATTCATCAATTTTCTTATTGGCTTCTTCAAGACCTATCAGAATCTCATCATCGCCGGTTGCTTTGCTCGGTTCGCTAGCATTTTTCGGTATCGGTTCCTCTTCTAGTATCCCTTCGGTGAACACATCATGCACTACATTTGAAACGTTTGATATTTGCCCTTTTAGGCTATTCAAACTATCGTTCACATTTATATTAAACCATGACATTTTGACGAAGTGTCTTTGGTGCACATTCAAAATGATAATTGCAATTTTTCGTGTGAAAATTGACAAACTATTTTCGGGAACTATGCAAAAAAAACACACACAAACACTGTAACCTCTGGCCTTTTATCCAACGCAATTTATCGTCAAAACGCTGTTCAATAATTTCATCACCAATTTTTCCACTTTCAACACTTTCGCCGTGCACATTCAAACCGGAACTCGTTTTTGAACAATCAATTCTACTGATTTTTATTCGCATTAAGCGCAAAAAATTGAATTAAGTAAAAGATTTTGCGTATTAAAAAGTAAAATTTCAGCCAAATGTTTTGTTGGCAAGTTTATAAACAATTTGGGACACTCGAATGTTATCGAACGTCATTTGTACACAATTTTGACAGCCAACGAACTGTCAAACACGAAACACAGATACACTGTTAATGTTTGATAGCATAAGACGACTGCAATTGTTTATTCGATTTTATTTCAATATTTTGTTTGAATGTTTTTGTGAAGGTAAATTTTCTTCTGATTTAATTTCATGAAGAATATTTTAATGAAAACAACCAAAAAAAAAAATTTAAAGTTGGAAACAATAACAATTTTATCATTTCAAACGTAGGATAATAATTGATTTTCGTGTCCCAATCCTCGCAAATGTCAGTTCATGTGTTTGTGACCATGTGAACGGTAATATTTTGCAAAAGTATTTTCCATTCACACGAAACATGATTACCGTTGCCGATTCGATTGGCATCAAACTTTTATCGCCCGATTGTCTACTGACCGGTGAGAAGTCTTAATACAGTTTTCAATATTAAATATTTCTTATCCATTTTCGATTTCTTTTTTCCTCTTTCCAGGTGTTGGTAATGAGTTGCATCAGTACTATTTGGATTCTAGTAACCAGACGGTGCATCGGCAAATCAGCCTAAATTTTCGAAGCAAAATCTATGGCATTTCATCGTTTGACGAGCACAATGAATCGGACTCTCAATATGTAGTGGTCCATGGAGGACGAGAAGTGGCCATTTTTATTCTTAGTATCGACAAGCATTTGAAATTAGTTACGCATTTAACACTCAGTGACTGGATTAGCTCAATCAAAGTCTATAAACCAATATCAAGCGAAGAAGTTTCATTTTGTGTTCTATCAGCGCATAGCGTGGCCAGCAAATTGAATGTGAATATAAATGGCAAGTGGCGTATTGAGCACAAGGCTTCATGCACCGACAAATGTACGCTATACTGTTCGTTTATCATCGGAAATGACTGGGCTGAAACGACAATATTCGGCGGAACGGCATTTGGTGAATTGATCATTTGGAACGCTAGTGGAAGTGGTTTGCAAAGAGAAGTTCTTCATCGGCTGTCAGGCCACAATGTAAGACCATTTTTGAGAAGAAGTGACGACTTTCGAATGACTGTTTTTCTAAAATTCAGAAAACTCGTTGATTTTTCTACCTTTTTTTTTAATCAATTTTGATTTTTTGTTGCTTTTTTCATCATTCTATCGTACTAATTCAGATCCAATATTCCTCTAGGGCGTCATTTTCTCCATCAACTGTTCTTTGGCGAACAATCTCATCACAACAACATCGGATGACCGATCTGTAAAAGTTTGGAAATTGCAATTCCCACCAGATGCACCAAGAGATTGGCGTGTTTGTTCAATTGAGCCGACAAAGTCAATGTTCGGTCACACTGCGCGTATATTCAGCCATAAAATCATTGAGTACAACGGAAAAGTCTATATTATATCGGTGGGTGAAGATAGTAATGTGTGTGTTTGGTCTCCGGATGGTCACCTGATAAGTCGACAGCCGATGACGTCTTCAGTTTCGCTATGGAATTTAGACTACGATTCAACCAGACAGTATTTGTTTGCCTGTGGAAATGATGGCAATGTGCATCAGTCGTGCTTGCAGGATATTTTGAATGGAACACAGTATTTGTGTGAAAATATCGAAATCCAGTACTTCGGGGATGGCGAATATGTCGATAAGCTTGTAATCATGGAAGGCAATGGCATTGTTGTCATGTTAACAAACAAACGAAAATTATTTTATGGCAAAGTAGAAGATACAATATCTCAAATTGTATGGAAGCCTTTGCCAGATGCGGAAATTGGCTACAAAATAACTGTATTGGAAACATATGAGTCATTGGTAGCCACCGCTGGCTATGCGTTTGTGACAATGTACCAATTTAAAAATGGTCAATTCAACAAAGTCTACCACGATCAATTGGCAAAAGCATCAGCTGATAGCTCACCATTGTTGCGTTCACTGCAATTTCTCACTGAAATGGAGTTTGTGATTTGTGATGCTCGCGGCAATGGATCACTTATATTAATCGATGAAACGTTCAACGTGATTAAAAACCAACCGTTCCAAATGCCACCGAGCAAAGAACGATGGATCACAGTGGCAGCTCGATTCGAAAGCTATTTAGTAATTGGAGATCGATTTGGCAATATGCACTTGTATATCGAAATCGCCGATACTTTAAACTTGAAACACACACTTTGGCATGTGCATGGGAATTTAGGTTGCAAAACAATCTTCCGAACTACAATGGAAAATCCACTTCAATTCAAGTGTGCGGGTCATCAGAGCCGAGTGAAAAAGATTGCAATCAATGCGACGACTCAAGAATTGGAACTAATATCCACACACGATATCCCAATAAAATGGTGTGAAAAATCGCTGCATATTGATAAGCACCGTAACATACTATTGGCTGGATTCAATGAACGTCATTTCATCGCCTGGCGCATTGACAATAGCTATCGCTTTGAGTTCGAATGTGGCGGTGGTCATCGTGCCTGGGCACTCTACATTGACCGACGAACATCAAAAGTATACTTATTTTTCATTCGAAGTAAATTGATGAACTGTGTTCAATTTTATCTGCACGACAGCACATTGCAACCGTTCACCATTCCGAAGAATAATTGGCATTCGCGACCTTGTAACACAATGCGCATCATTCAATTGATCAGTGAACGACATTTAATCGTTTCCGGCGGTGATGATAATCTGTTGAAATTCAGTGAAATTAACACGATCAAACCGAATAATGTGCTGCGACATCATTTCGATATGGTTGTGCACATTTCGAATATTAGATCAATTTTTTCACTTCGACTGGCGACAACAGATGAATCAAGTGATAAGAAAAAATGGCTGATTTTTTCGGCCGGTGGCCGGGCACAAATTTGCGTGACGGAAATTCAAATAGATCAACAACAAAATCTGCAATTTCATGAAATCTGCGATTTTATGCTGAGGTCTAGTGATTTGGATCGCAAACGTAATAAACAAACACAAATTATTTATTTTGATCCAGAAACACGATTCATGAGTTTGGTGGCTTATTTTGGAAAAAATGATATCAACCTGGTGGGTGGATGCTCTGATGGTTTCATTCGAACTTTCAAATATGCAAATGGTACGATTTCATTGGATACATCGACGTTTTATGGACGATGCTTTCTAAATGTGTATCATTTTAAGTTTAATGGATGTAATTACCTCATAACTATGGCTACCGATGGACTAATTGCGTTTTGGTCATTAGACAATTTCAATGAAAATTCACAACCATTTTTCAATGTACAACACCACGATAGCGGAATTAATTCATTTGATATTTTTATCGATTCGAACGAAATTTGCATCGCCACCGGAGGAGACGATCAGGCTATTGTTATTTCAGTACTTCAAATCGAAGCTAAATCAAACAACGAAATCAATATTTCCGTTTCAAAAACCATAAAATTCCCATTCAATCACACAGCGCAAGTCAATGGTGTCAAATTTTCTGTGGATCAGAAATACCTGTATTCCGTCAGTGTGGACCAAACGATAATGAGAGTAGATTTAAGCGATTTTTACATAAGACAAATTGGGTATTCGTGCATTTCAGACGCTAAGGGATTGCAAATCGTCGATTTAGAGCGTGTTTTAGTTTACGGCTGTGGACTGCAAGCTTTGAAAGTGTGAGATATTCTATTGAGAAGGATGGTCTCAGTTGGAAAGAGATAGAAATAATCTTAAAAAAATGTTGAAAAAAAGGAATAAAAAAACAAACAATAACATTAGAGTATAAAAAAGTTGAATTTTTCATACACCAAATATAAATCCCCATCGAACAGCCCTTCATGACCTGACAGAAATTATAAATTTATACAAAAAAAAATAAAACCATTTATAATTTTGCATATGAACAAATTTTTTGATTTTTATTGAATAATCTTTGGGAATGAAGCTTAGAGAACTAAATCAGTGCACTTAAGAATTTACAATTCATTAAAAATCTTTTTCTCTTCTAATTTCGTTTCGCTTCAAAAAAGCCGTCCAAAATATTTGGTTTTCGGTGAGAAATTTACGAGCTGTGGCCATTGAACGACGAAAGAATCGGAGATCCAAACGAGTATCTTGCCACTCAATGAGACGGTTTTAACACGGCAAAAGCTTTCGATGAATACAATTTTACATTGGACGTTAATTGCGCCAATGACTTTCAGCATGAATGCAATCAAACAGATGGGAACACAGGTGCCAGGCCCATTGCACAGCACCAAATCGGGTTGTACTTGATAAATCAATGGGATACACTGCCAAATGGATTGAATTGTTGTGAACACTGACGTCAAATAGCTTTGTCCAACATGACGACTTCTCTTGATACGGAATATTTCATAGTCATTTTTCGATGTGGTTGGCTCTTCAAAATCCAATACCTTCGACTCGCTGGTGGAATCGGTGCTAGCTAAAATATAATATCTCGGTGAATAGTTTTTCTTATTGAGTTGTTTGACAATTGTCATCATCTCAGCCGTATGACCGCCCGATCCGAGTACAATCAACGTCTTCACTGGCTTCCTCCGTCGGATATGAACTGCCGACGCAACATTTGTAAGATAATAATAACGAATAGCCAACAAAAATACGGCTACCTTCAATAAAACAACAAATAACAAAAACATTGTGTCCGTCCCTTTGTTCGAAGCGTCGAATTGAATTATTGAGGTTATGTCCACCAAATGGAATTGTTTTGATGCAAACAGATGTTTTGACAACATCAGCAGCTGAAATTACGTATGTGTGGCATTTCATATGGATCTGCGTTAACATCATCGCACCGTCGCCACCATATTCAAAGTGTCAGATATTTCGAATGAAACGCGCCAGAGAGACACTTCACAGCAGTGAATGTACGAACGAAAACGCAAGCAGTGAGAAGAAGAAGGAAAAAAATGAAAGATTAATTGTACAATAGTCGTGCTACTGCTGCTGCTACATCGAGTATTTTGACGCATGCGAAAGTGAAAATTTATACGAATAAGACGTGATTATAAATAGCACTCACAAAATAAAAGCAAAAAAAAAAATTTCTTTTGCTCGGATTTTTTTCGTTCGTTTCGTTGTAAAAAAAAATTCAATATCAAACACAAAACAAAAGCGAATCAATTCTTTTTTCAAAGGGAATAAATGTGCTTCTCAATTTGTTTTGATTAAATTGTACGATTTAGGAAATCTAGTAGAAAAAATCGATTTCGTTTCCTCGATGAAATTTTTTTCGTCATCTTTCGCTGATTGTTAGAAGAAAGGAAAAAAAACGCAGAAACATTATAGAGAAAGTTTGAATTCCAGTGCATCCAAAGTAAGTGAAATGATGATTTGATTGTTGAGAGAGAAAGGAAGAAAAAAAGATGATGTTGTTTGATTGCATAAATCCAAAATAAACAATTAACCACTCGAAAATAAAAGTACTTGAATCGTTGAATGTCAGTGACGTTGTCGTACACATTACACACAGAACATTAGTTTTAGCTAAAGGGCCCAAATAAAACAGTTGTTCGCTCGTTTTCAATATCAATTGTTTGTTTTCATGTGTACGTGATTTGTTTTATACATTTCGGATCGCAAATTTGAGAATATAGTATCATCAATCTAATATTGGTGTGTGTTGTGTGAATGTTTGTATAAAATAAAACCATATTCATATGCATTTGCTATATGTCGACTGTGAATGGTGTGTCAGATTGGCAAATGTACGGGGTGTCAGTGTGTTCTGCGTGAATGTGATAATTTCAATAGGAAATTAAGTGCCAGAAGTCATTTGACCGCAAACAACCGAACATTATTTATCATTTTTTGAGCAAATTCAAATCGAAACGAAAGTTTACAGTATTGTGTATGTACTCCATTTTGTTGATATCAAAGTAAAAAATGATTTGTGTCGTCACACTCATATTTTTGTTTGAGTAAAGCGTTTGGTATTTCTTTTTGTTTTTCTATGTGTCATGTTTTCTGTGTAACAACAATAGATTTCATTACATGATTACAGTAATTCCGTACCTTGTGCCCGGGGCCTCAGTGTATTGCTACTGCTACTGCTACTGTTGTTGTTGTTGTTGTTGTTGTTGTTGTTGTTGTTGTTGTTGTACGGTGGTCAGTGTTTGACTCAAAAGTCCAACTGTAATTCAGAGCCTGAGAGCATTTGTTTTGTGTATGCATTTGAAACAACGTTGACAACCGTACCAACTATTTTTTCCTATTTTGAATATTTTATTGTGTGTACACGTTGGTGCTGAAAAGTGATTCTATTTTCCATTTGATCGCCGTCAATTATGTGATTGGCTGCAACAAAAAAGGCTTTTACATCTAAAACAATCAATTAACGCGAATTTCGAAATGCAATTTCCTCATCATTAGTTTTGATATTCCGTGCATGGCCATAATTTGTTCTATCTTTCGTTTATGAACAATTTTACATCCGCATTTTTGATGGATCTATATTTGTTGAAGCGTTCGTATTTTATCATCCTGAACTATGTGAGAGTGAGCGCGCGCACACGCATCGCGATTCTCTCCCGATTCAATCAAGTCACAATAAACATAATGAAAGGCAATGACAATCAAGGAACATTTTTCGTCGCGCTAAACAAAGAACCGAGAATGAACTCTCAGCGTGTTTATCGTAGTATAGGGAAGAACTACGTAGTAAATCATTCTCACTTAAGCAATCGTCATCGTGTGCGAGTGTGAATTTTTTTTGTTCTGTTCTGTGATTGCCAAACAACAAACCAAAAACAAAAGCGAATGAGCACCAATCAAAATGTGACGGCTGACTTTCAATACAAACAAATTGTGACGACGCAGTAAACAATTGAAATGGGCCGCAAAAGCGAGTGTGTGTGTGTGTAGTTTTGTTGTTACACATCAAAATAATGCAATTATATCGAATTATCATTGTAAACGATTCCGTTTGAGTGATATCATGAATTGAATCGGCTGATCAAACAGAAATTCACCTTTAAAAAATAGCTTTTTACATAGACTAAACAAGCTTCAACTTGAATTGAACGAGTACTTCTTTTATTGTATCAAATGACCCGTTCTCAATTCGAAATAAAAGAAATTCTCTCAGTGAATTTATTGGAAAACTTTAAAATCAATAAAATGATGATGAAAAAAAAACGAAACATTTCTCGCGGCATCGAGATTCCCTTCATCTGTAGGTCTAGCCTTGGATCCTGCACAAACGCGAGGTTATGCAATATCTATCGTCTATTACGCGATGTATAGTATAGTTGATTCGGGATTGTCATTGTCATTGCAAATAGGTTCAAACACATGTTTAACAGCATTGGTTGAATGCAATGTTTCAACAAACAATCTCGTAGTTGCCGACGACGACGACGACGACAACAACGGCAACGACGACTCAAAGTGCCTCTTAACTCAGTCGCCACACGTTTTTCCTATGCACTTTTGGTGCTTTGACTATACCCACAGAGTCAAAGCTATACCATACTATAGATTCAATAAATTCCTATAGTTGCCAAGATCGAATCATGCAATTTTCATTCAGTTTCAATTTAATTCAGAGCTCACTTTCATTTCGTGCTGCCTGGTGGTGGAAGTGAACTAACGAAATTTTGCGTTGAAACAACAACAATCTTTTTTATTTCCTCTTCTCCGACGTTTTCGGTCTTGATTTAATCGTAAACTGTAGATTTGTGTGTGACGTATTTGTTTCATTTTGCGTGTTTGTCTAGCAATGAAGTTTAGAACCGCAAACGAAGTGAATGTGGTTTATACAATTTCAACAATCTCCGCCGCATGAAATTGTGTATAATATATTTTTTTTCGCTTCTATGTATTGATATGCGTGTGTTTGATGTGTTGTGTGTGTGTGTGTGTGTGTGACTGTGTCCGTTTTTGTAATGCGTGCGGTATAAGTGTATATTTTTAGTCATTTCAAATGGAAATGTGCGCTCAATTCGGAGACAAAACAAAGTCATCGTGTTTTCTGTGTTTGTGAATAAACAAATTTTCTTCTTATAATATCGCATTAGCCACGATATGACATTTATTATGAGACTTTCTGCTCAATGAACAAAGTTCTTGTTGTTCATTCAAAAATAGGATCGTCAACACGATAGATACGTTTACGAAACGAAAGTGAGAATTTCTAATGCGTTTTCTTTTTATTTTGACATTTCTTTTTCCATCCACAGTAGTACGTCACCAATAGAATTTGATAAGGAAATCTAGTAAAATAGAAACACACACAAAATTTGATCATCAGCCCGAAGAAAATATATAGCAAAATCCAACAGAAATTATGATCGGTTTGGATGATTATGATGAAATATCGGAGTCAACGAGCGAATTACCGGAAAAACCGTTGAAAGAATGGCGACGCAAATTCGAAGCGGCCAGTTTAGAGTCGCCAAATTTAATGCAATATTTTCAAGCTGCCTCACCATTTTTCTTCACCATCGACCAAACAGCTGAATATTCCGATCTGGGTAAGTGTTTCCCATTTATTATTTAGTGTGTGCATTTCCATAGAAAAACGAAGTCATGAGAGTAAATTGCGCGCACTACCGCATTTCACGAAATCGTGAAGATATTGCTCAGTGCAAGAAAAAAAAGGGAGACAGAGCGTGTGACAAACGATTCAACTGAATGATTCAGCTGTAACCGGAGCCAAAAATATCCGAATGAAATATTTTCATACGCAATAAGTGTGAGCGTTGACAGTGTTCGGTTCGTCTTTATCTAGCATATGATTGAATTGAGCAATGACCTCATAGTTTGTTGATTCCACACACACACAGTGCACGATCTCATGATTTCCTTACATTTATTACAAATTGCGCTTTCTTGATTGAAAGAATGAATTGCCTTTATTGCTCGTATTTTTTTTTTTTTCATTCTCATTTTTTCGCCTTTATTTTCCAGCCAGATGTAGTTTTGATGAGCAAGGTGCAAAAAATGCGATCATCGATGTTCTTGAGGAGTTTATATTCGGCGATAATCCAGAAACGGTGCTGGCCAAAATCCGTGGCGAAGAGAATGCGTCGACCGTTTGTGGGCGAGTGTTCAAAATGAACGAACCATTTTACAGTTGTCGCGAATGCGGCATGGATCCAACTTGCGTACTATGCGTGAATTGTTTCAAACAGTCAGCACATCGTCATCACAAGTACAAGATGGGAACCAGTGCGGGCGGGGGATGCTGCGATTGTGGCGATAACGAGGCATGGAAACAAGACCACTACTGTGATGAACACAAAGTAAGACCTTGTCACTTTTCGTTTTATTTTATTTTATTTTCAAAGAAAATGAGTATTTTTTGACATTGAACTAATCTCCGCTTCCGAATTCTCTCTTTCTCTCCCCACTCACCGAAAACAAAACAACAACAACAACAACAGCAGGGAAGCGAAAAGATGTTACAAAGTAATTTTATAACAGAACGAATGCGGGATCGTTGCAAAATTGTATTCGACGCAATTTTGAATTACTGCGTGAGATCGTTGAAAATCGAAGCGAATGGCAGCATCAAAAACATGGATTCACAAAATGAAGACGTCTATTGTACAGTGTTGTACAACGATGAAACGCATACGTTCGATCAAGTGATTAACACGTTAACACGAATTGTTGGATGGCAGCAAAAAGACGCCGTTGAATATGTGTCAACAATCGATCGTGAAGGTCGAGCCGTTGTTAAGTGTTCGACATTCAGTTCGTGTATGAAACTGAAGAATGACATTGAAAATCAGTCGATGCGATCGACGGTTGCAATCAAACCGACCGTTCTGAAAGTTGCTGTGCTCCACAAAAACGATGTCGCCTATCAGCAATTTTCGCTGCAATTGTTGGCCTGGTTTCAAGAATTTCTCACACGTCATGCCGTTTTTCGGTTTTTATTCTGCGAAATATTGAAACAAAGCACCGATTACAGTCTTCGTGAAATTCTAACCAATGATTCGATGCTATGGAAAACGGCACGAACCAGTTGGCACCATCTCCTGATATCTGGCATGCTGATGGAATACGAAAACAAAAAGACACTTGCGGTTATGTTCACCCGACAATATACACGAATTATGCAAGATTTCATTTGCCATGATGATCATGATCACTCATTTTCGATTGTCTCGATGAGCGTGCAACTGTTTACGGTGCCATCGATAGCCCAACATCTGATTGCGAACGAAGACGCATTCTACAAGCTAATGTACACATTCTATTCGGAATCAATAGAGAAATATGTGAAGAAGAAGGTGCTACAATTCACACGAAACGCCGGCAATATGAACATTTTTAAGCGGGCCGCATTCATTTTGTACGACATCAAGTACATTTTGAGCTTCAAACCGGCCGTTTGGACGGATGGATTGCGTTCGAATTTCTTGCACGGTGTGCAGATGCTGATTCGATTGTTGCGCGAAATGCAAGGCATGGACAGTGTATTCCGTCAAACGGGCCAGCACATGGAATACGAACCGGAATGGGAATCCGCATTCAATTTGCACATCAAATTAGCGCCGGTGATTTCGTTGGTGCTGGATTGGTGCAGCAGTGATCGTATCGTACTGATCAAAGTCTACCGAATGGTGATGAGTGCACTCACCGAAACCGATTTTATTGTGTCACAAACGACGTCGGAGATCAAAGAGTTGGCCGATCACAGCGTCTGGTGCTTGATGTACGATGTGGGCTCGAAACCGGTTTCAATCCATTTACCATTATCACGATTTTTTGCCGGTCTATATTTGCACCTAGAAAAATTCAATTTAACCTTTGATACAGTTCCCGTGAAGAAATTGAAACCGGATCAAACGATCGAACCCAAACCCGATCAAATTATCGAACCGGTTCTTTGTACCCTAACAATGGTTGCTCAAGTACATGCTGGAATGTGGCGCCGAAATGGCTACTCGCTATTGAATCAATTGTATTTCTATCGGAACGTTAAATGCCGTGCTGAAATGTTGGATCGAGACATTGTAGCCCTGCAAATTGGTGCATCACTCATTGAAAGCAATGAATTTTTGATTCATGTCGTAAATAAATTCAATTTGATCAATTGGGCCAGTCCAGACTATGAACAAACATCACTTCAGAATCCGGAAGAGGATAGCATTCGTCAGGTCATTAACATGGTTGATGAACTGCTCGAATTGATAATCGTAATCGTTGGTGAACGTCATGTTCCCGGTGTTGGTATGGTCACGGAAGAAGATAAAATCAAAAAGGAAATCATTCAGTATCTTTGCATAAAACCATATTCACACTCGGAACTGAGTCGAACACTGCCCGATTGCCAGAATGAGGAAGGCATCGAGGACATTATTGATAGCGTTGCTGTATTCAAAAAACCGACACAATCCGATAAGATGGGCGTTTATGAATTGAAACCGCAATATTTTGATGATTACAACATGTACTTCTATCACTACACAAAGGAGGAAAAGAGCAAATCCGAGGAAGAGCAACGGAAACGACGAAAAGCCAAAAAAGAATTGGTTTGCTGTCCACCACCAAAACTGCCACAACTTACACCATTGTTTAGGTATGAATCAAAAGCCGATTTTAAGATGCATTTTAGAAGATTTTTTAACCCCATCATTGTCTGTAGAACAAAACCGATTTCAATTGATATAAATCAATGAATTTCAACTGATCGATAACGATGTCAATTTCTAATTCAAATTTTAACACCTTTTGCTTTCAGTATGTTGGCGAATTTACTTCAATGCGATGTCATGTTGCTGATTATGCACACCGTTTTAAAGCGTGCCATCGACTTAAAGGCCAGAAGCTTTTCGGAGAGCCATTTGCAAAAGGTAGGTCATTGTGTACTTTTGACTGTTCATGTCAAAGGAATGTATCAAATAATGTCAACGTTTGATTCTATTCGAATCCAGGTGCTGCATTTGATTGGATATGCGGTGCAAGAGCAAGAAAGCAGTGCATATCCATTTTTCACCTTTTATGAACGTGCTGCCAAATGGGATATATTGCCATTGATGGAGGAGTTAATCAATAGTCCAAGAGTAAGACAAACATTCTCAAAATCAATTCATTCGTCATCTATTTTATTTACGAAACTTTTCCATTCGCTATAGGTTGAAGCTCACCGTGACCTGATCTTGTGGACGGTTCGTCGATACAAAACGTTGCAACAATCCGATAACCAGCAGATGGAAAGTGAAGAAACGGCCACCGGTAGCGGTGAACATTCGGGTGATCGTAGTGCTGCTGAGGCGGAAAAGGCCGAAAAAGAAGATCGTGCCCGACTAGCAGCTGAACGTCGTGCAAAAATCATGGCACAAATGGCAAGTGCGCAAAAGAATTTCATGTCGTCGAATGCTAAGTTGTTTGAGGCCACCGCTACTGCGGTGCAGGACAAGAACGAATCGGCCATGGAATGGCAAGAAGAAGAAAATAATCATTTGGCGAAGCAAATATGCTTGGGTCCAAATCGAAAACATCATTTTGTCGAAGACTTGATGGTTACGTGTATTCTGTGCTCTGAAGATGCAGTCGTAAGCAATGGCCCATGCATGGTTTACTCGGCATTCGTTCAAAAATCCCATGTTTTGCTACCGCTCGACACAATTTCCTATCCACACACCAGTTCATGTGGCCATGTGATGCATGCCAGTTGCTGGAAAGAGTATTTCAACAATGAAGTGTTGAAGGAAAATCGCCGACCAAATCGAAACCGACAGTCCGGCATGACAACCGATAAGAAAGAGTTTTTGTGTCCATTGTGCAGATGCTTGAGCAATGCAGTGATTCCAATTTCACCGGCTCTATCTCGCATTTTGCCATCACAACAGTCAGAGTCCGGCAGCACTCAAACGAACGATGACATTGAACCGATGCCATTCGATAAGTGGTTGTATTTCATGCAAAATTACAACGGTGCTTTGCAGCTGATCACCGATATGCCCGAGATCGGAGACGATATCGTCACAAAACTTCCCGATTTGGAATCAATTGTCAAGGAATTCACAAGCATTGAAGCGTTTGTTAAACTCGCACCGCCAACTTCACGCGAACTCTTGCCGACCGAGCTTCTGGAGTATGTGAGTGAATTCGCAAATTCAGCCAAACGAGCCGCTCCGTATACGTCTGCCGATGAAAAAGCCGAACCACATCTTGTCACATGGATTTCGTGCTCGTATACAATTCAAACATTGGAGATGTACTTGCGTGCGCTGAACAAACCGATGAAAGGACAAATGTCGATTCGGCAAACGAGCTGCTTATCGGGACTGATTCGTGAGAGTGGATTGCTTGTGACCACCATTTCCGATGATATTGCCGCTAAATTACTTGCTTTGCTACGCAGTCAATTATCCACCCTGTTTATGAACAGCAGCAGTTGCTTCATCGAATGGGATCTATTCCGAATGTTGGTCACATTCATCTTTATCACACCATCGGTTTTGTATGCCCGAACACGACAGTGTATCGTTCCAAATGGCACTTTGCTCGAGCATTATCTGCTGAAAACCATTTTCCTGGCACTAATCACAAAGATTCTGGTGTTGCACAACATTGATGAGAGTGTCAAGGCCGAAGAAGATGCATACAATTACTACATGGATGTCGAAGAGAGCACCGTAACCTCGAACGCAGCCTCAGAAGACAAACAAACACCAAGTGAAACGGAAAGTAGCAGCAACTCGGAAACAGATGTGCTCATTGAATTCTATAACAATCACAATTTCTATGTGATCGATGCACGTGATGCCGGCGTCGCACCGCCAGCTGCAAACAAAACCCAGAAACAACTAAAAGAGTTCATTATGAAGGCGATCCGTGATGAGAGTCGGATATTTTTGCGCTGTGCATGCTTGTTATTCCAACATCTGACCGACATTGATTTGCCCGATGAGATGTTCGATTCGGACGGTGATCGATTTGAGGTGATGTGCGAGTACCTGGGCTTGAGCAGCGATATCGAAACTTACCTGAAATGTGATAGTATCAATTCATTCATGAGCAATTTGGCAATGCATCCAGACATTGAACAGTTCCGAACGAAGCAACGGGCTGAATTAACAACGGTGTTGGTGCCATGTGTGCCACCCGTGCGAAAATTGGTCGATCTACCAACGGATTACAGTGATCTAATCAATACAGTGCTTACATTTTCGTGTCCAAACAATGATCGCGATGAATCATCACGTAATCCGACAATGTGTTTGGCCTGCGGAGTGACTCTATGCTCAATGACCTACTGTTGTCAGTACGAGATTGAAGGATCAACGGTGGGCGCGTGCACATATCATGCACATGAATGTGGTGCCGGTGTTGGTATATTCCTGCGCATCAGAGAATGTGATGTGCTACTGTTGGGCGTGAACAAAGGCTCATTTGTACCACCGCCCTATCTCGATAAGTATGGCGAAACCGATCAAGGTCTTCGACGCGGTAACCCATTGAAATTGTGTCCAGAACGATATCAAAAGCTCAATTTGCTTTGGCTTAATCACGGTCTTCACGAGGACATCGCTCGTTCGGCTGAATCCATCAACAATGTCATACCAACCCAATGGCAACATCTATAGTTATCGATGGAAAATCATTCATTTTGTTCGTTGTGATGAAAATTTTTAACAAAAAAAAAATGAAAATAAATCGTAATCAATTTGCAAATAATATCCAAAATGGATCTAGAAAAAAAATTGTTAGAAAAAAAAAAACACATACACACAAGAAAGACTGCGGTCAATAACTGTAAAATAAAGCTAAAGAAAATTGAATTTTGTTTATAGGAACAAAAAGGTGAAGAAGAGTAATTAGTTAATAAAATCTCATGTTTACTTTTTGCAATTATTGCACAAAACAACAATTTTGCCCGAATTAATTAGAAACAGATTGAACAAAATCGATGCATTTTCTCATCGCACGCAGCTATAGGAAACTTACGTGTTCTATAAGATTTTATTTTTTTTTATTCTTTTTTCATTATCTCCTAATCTCTTTTATTTTACTTTTGATTTTATGACTTATAGTTTCGAGATTGTGGCTCTTCTTTAACCAATATTAGTTTAAGATCTGGTGAAATGACTTGAAGTATTTCACAAATCCAATCTTTTGTCCTCTCTGCTCTCAATTTTCTAAGAATTTGTAGATGATGATGATGAAGAAAAAAAAGCATGTAGAGTGGCCAAAGTAGCAAATAATCACGTTTACTTTAAAAATATTGCTAAAACAGATGAAGAATTAAAGAGAAAAAACATACATATATATATATATAGAAATCGTAAGTCGGTTGGCCTATGGCACAAGCTAAAAAGTTGTTTTGTATATTTAAAACAAAATATATATTATAAATGAAATCGTTTTTTTTTTGTTTCTTGTGTTTTTAGAATGTTCATGTAAAACATAGTCTTCTTTTGAGTCCATGCGAATGAGAAAATGTTACATTTTTCTCGGATGGATGTAAACAAATAACAAACAAAATATATCCATGATTTAGATTTAAAAACGGGAAATTAGATGAAAATTCTTGCAAATCCCCATTTAGTGAATTTAAATTCTTTATTTCGATATATTTAAAATCAACAGCTATTTGTTAGACACAATGTTTTTGATATATAAGTGAAGATGACGAAGAAAGGATAAAAAGCACACAATCAATGGCTCAGTCGATGTTCCACAGAAATACCTGCTTGAAACGGTTAAAATGATAAACGGTACGACGATCACAACATTTTTTTTAGCGCAATTTCTGTTGCGCAACTTTGTGATTCGATCTAGCTCATAGCTAAATAGAAAAAAACCATACAAAAATACCAAACCATTTTTTTCGTGTGAAATAAATCAAATCTATTACATTCGGATGAAAAGTAAAATAAATTCAATATAAACCAAATCAGTTCTATTAGAATTGTTGAATTCTTGTAAATTACAATTTTTAAACAATAAATTTCCACTAAGAGACACACGTAATCACAACAATAACAAAATAAATATATGAAAATTACCGAATAAACAAACATTGAGACATATATATATGATAAATTGCGTCTTATTTTGTTTCTGTAATGGAGAAAGGTGGGCGATCAACAAAAAGATAGCTGTGAATATGATGTCAGATTCAATTTCTAGACGGAATAAAATTGGCATAAAATCGCCAGTTTGTTGAAAATCATACTAGCATAAATCATTAGATCGTGTCATGGATCGAGTTGAGAATAAGTCGATGAATATCCTATTTGCAACTGGTTCATATAAGACTTACTTATTCTATAGGAACGTAAACCAAAGGTATCACAAGGTTTTACAGAAATAAGAAAATTGCATTTTCATAACAATAAAGGTTTATTTTTCTCTTCATCACAACAAAAAAAAAGTATTTCCCAATTTGTAAATTTTGAATTCGAATTGCAGAAAAAAAATAAAATCTCAAGCGCATTGCTCAAACATATTCAATATCCAAAGCATTTGATAAGAACTTATTTCGACGTGATAGGAATTTGGTATTTGTTTTCCTTTCATTCTGACAACTTTCAATCTAGTAATTTCGTTTTCTATCCAAGTTCTATTCTTTGTGTTGAAATTTAGCCTTCTGATCGTCATACAATTGTTTTAACTGGGCTTTAGTTGGAACTGGTCGAATGTATCCCCACTGCGATAGATATTTAATCGATAGAGTTGTGCCGCCAAGTGTAACGGTGTAACGAAGCGGTGTGGCGATTTTGTAACACAGGTATGCAATTGCTGCATGGCCCAGCGAAGAGTCTCTCAGCTTTGTGACTACTGTTTCACTGACGTGCATGGTTTCCAATAAGGCTGGTATATCTACACCGCTGCAATTGGCCAAAATAAAAACCATAATAATATGAAAATCGTATAATGATACGGAATCAAAATGAATAAAACAATTGAAAGTGGATCAAAACGATTCAATTACATACCTTGTTGATAGATAGTAGAAGCCAGTAAACCAAAAGCAAGATGTGAATACATGCACTGGCAGCAAAACGTACCAATATTCTTTGTACATCTTCTTGAATTTTGCAGTTAATGTAAGCTTCTCTTCGACTAGTGGAACATCTTCAGTTTTGTTGGCGGCTGCTTCAGTCTCAAATTCACCATCCTTGGTTTTATTTTCTACTTTGCCGCCAGCGCTTGATTTTGTTGTTTCTTTTTTCGCTTTTCTGTCGTCATCGCTGTTGTGGTCTGGTGATTTTGGTTTCAATGCAGTTTGACTGTTGTGAGGTAAGCTTGTGGAAAAGTATCGATACAGATGATAATGATCCAAGGTGACTATGCTACTATTAACACTCCATTGTTTGAAGCCAATCGATGGCTGTAGTGATGTGATTCTTTGAATTGATCGCATCGGCCATGGTTCACAATAGTTTCGCTCTGATGTGCAATTGTACAAAATGCGACTGGTGCTCGGATGAGCAAACAAATCTTTCGAACACAATGCATACCCACACCGAATTATGCTTTTCACTGTTGTTGTATTCATTGTAGCTGCGTATTTTCTCGGTTTTTCCAACTACAGCTCAGCTTTGATACCAAAAAATAAAATTTATTTTCGTTTTTGCGGGTAACGCTATTCACTTCCCTATTGTGTCATTTTTAGCCAAATTATTCGGTCTCTTGAATTATTCATCGATTCTTATACCAATTGTAATGAAAGTAAAAGCGACTTTATATCAAATGTATTACGAGACATGTTTGGTTGTTTGACAGTGTGTTCGCATGTGTGAAGACGGTATCAACCTTCAAATTTTTTTTTTTGTGGTTATGATGAACGCAGTTTATATTTGCGATCAACTTCATGTCAGACTTGAATTAACTCAACAGACAGCCGCTCACAACTGACAGTTCATACACACACACAAGACATCGCGAATTGTTTATACTAAAAGGCGGTACATTTTCGATGAGTCTTTTGTTTTAATTTTTTACAAGGAAATTAACAAGGTAGCGTTTTGTTTCAAGTGACAATTTTTTCACGTGAAACATCAGAAATTTGGACAAATTTGATTCAAGCCATGTCGAATTTATAGCAATATTGACTGAAGTGAATTTTTCGTTGTAATTATTTTAGGTTAGGTTTAAAGTTGAAACACAGCATTTCGTTGAGAAAAAGTCGCCTTCAGTTGATTCACAATGGATTTCAACGCACTTCTCCAAGAAGCTCAAAAGCTGACCAATGAGACAAATGCTTCGGATTTGCTACCGAGAGTGGAACGATCGTTGCCACAAGTACTTCAGGCTACACGTGAACTACATTCGCGTGTCACCCAAACAGAAGCACAGGATATTCAAGCGTATGTTTGATTTAATTCTATTTAATCATTTTCTCCTACTTTTGAATCAGAAACGATGACAAAAACAGAATGCCACAACCATTTTTTCCACTTCCACACAGTCACATCCTTCTTGGTTCCAAAGGTATTGAGCTGCCGAAAATCTCACAGAAGCTTGAGTCGTTGAGTGCGCGTAAAACATTTGAACCACTCGAACCAATAGCCGACACAGACGTTCAGGGTTTCTTACGAAATGAGAAAGAAACGGCCATTCTGTCGGTCATCGAGGAGGTGCACAAAAACTCGTATTTATCGGCTCAAAACCAAAAGTGGGAACACATTCTCAGCGATTGGAAACAGGAGAAAATCAAGCTGATGAACGCTTTGATTGGACCATCACAAAATTGGATCGACATTCGAAAAGGCCCCGAACAGACTGTTTTGAACGAAACAAGCGCTCGTGGAAAGTCAAGCCTGAACAGTCAAGAGATGGCTTATGCTTGTGAAGTGTATGAATATAACAAATTGGTGATCGCCGGCGGATTGCGGCCGAATCTAGTGGAACGATTCTCGAAAATTGCACAGCAGTTCAATGACACGGTTAGTTGAAGTTATATCTATTGACATTTGCTTTGGAATGTGAATATTCCGCATTCATTTTTTTTTAATTTGGTTTTTTCTTGTCACAAAATGCAGAAGGTGAACGAAATCTGGGAAATCATCATTTACATGACGAATGTTACACCACTGCCGAAGTCGCAAGATCCATTCAAAACACGGAACACAAAATATGAATTCGTGGCTCAGGGTAAAAAATATTTGGAGCATAGGTACGTTTCGGATTTCGTAACGTTGCGAATTGTGTAAAAATGTGAATTTCACAACGTCTGTCAATCTTCAATATATCTTGAATTGACTTCAACTTCCCAACATCTTTTCAATCCCAGATATAAATTGTTCATGCAAACCTACATATCGGACCGTTTGCCCGAGGCGCAACGTGGCGGTGTGCCAAGTGTCTTTAATTTGGTTGGCTCATTCGTGGCGTTGAACTTCAACAGTCAAACAGGAAACACAATTGGTCTTCAAGACGGTCATATCGATGGTAGACCTCTGTGGCCAATGGTTTACTACTCGTTGCGTTGTGGAAGCATTCAATCAGCATTGAAGTGTTTGCAACAAGCTGGGTAATTAAATGATTTTAATTTGGTTCTAACAGCTATTCATATTTGCTGTCATTGTTTGTAGGCTGGGTCACGATGATCTGATTCAAGTGTTGGAAGAGAAGGCACGCAAACCTAATCAGCGTATCAGTGCCAAATTGGAAGCTCAAATCAAGATGCAGTACAAGCGAAAGATTCAGAATGAAACAGACATGTACAAGTGTGCTGTTTATGGTCTCATTGGCTGTTGTGATGTGCCAGATCATGCAAAAGTGGCCAAGACCACCGATGATTTTCTATGGATTCAGTTGTCCATGATTCAACCGGATGACAATGGCAATATGAGCAACACTGACGATCATATTGGATCAGACAACCCCACATACCCGGCTCTTCAGTCAATGATTCTTGAAAAATACGGAGAGAAACACTTCAATGCCAACGAACAACCACATTTGTATTTCCAAGTGTTGGCATTGACCGGTCAATTTGAACCTGCCATCGAATTCTTGTCACGTTTCGAACGCTATCGCACTCATGCCGTTCATATCGCTTTAGCTCTCAACGAAATGTTCCTCTTGGGCTTGCCGCGAAGTGTGCAACAACCATTGTGTACGTATTTTGACACTTTTTTGAATGAACCGTCGAAAAACTGAATATTTGCTCTCAATTTACAGTGTCAATCGATATCGAGGATCCAGTTCCGTTGCGACGCTTGAATGTTGCCCGCTTAATCATGCTCTACGTTCGCAATTTCGAAATCACTGATCCAGCTGAAGCTCTTCAGTACTTCTATTTCCTTAGGTGATTTATCATTCGATTGAATGCGTTCTCATTTCCTAATTAAGTGACTTTAGCTGTCAATGATCAATTCTGATGTTGTCTAAATGTTTTTTTCCCTTAAATTTCAAAATTCAGAAACAAGCGTGATCCAGACGGCCGCAACTTGTTCCTAACTTGTGTATCCGATTTGGCTATCGAATGCCGCGACTACGATTTACTCTTCGGCAAAATGCAGCGAAACTGTATCCGATCACGTGGTTTAATCGATCAATTCGAGTCGATTGAAATCGATGTGCGAAAAGCCTGTGAAATTGTTGGCGATGAACTGGTCAAAAAAGGATTGTTTGAAGACGCCGTTAAACTTTATGATTTGGCTGGTGTAAGTACCTCAATTGTTGAAGCTTTGATTTAAATTCTTTTTCAAATTCACCATTTTAATTCAAATTTTCCGTGATGTTCAATAGATCGAAGAGCAATGCTTGCGATACTTGTCAATTTTACTGTCTCCAGTTGTGCATCAAACCGGCAAAAAAGGTTCGTTACGCGAGCGATTGTACTTGAAAGCCTTGGAGTTCACCGAGCGTTATGCTGATACGGAACTGCATTGTGATTCCAATATTCGTGCCACATTCTTCACACTGCGTGACTTGGTCAAATTCTTCGACGAATACCATCAACAGAAGTATCAATTGGCTTTAGAAACGCTGGGTCAGTTGAAACTCGTTCCATTGAGCATGAATGACCTGGAGATTTGCGTCAATAACTTCAAAAGGTGTGTATATTGATCTAAAGTATCACGATGATTGTTTTCAATATTTTGGCTCAGCTTTCTTTCTATTTCGGCTTTCTTGAATCTACCTATGAAATTCGGCTCAAATCTTATGTTATTCCAGGCTTGGCGGCGAAGTGAGCAAAGTGTTCCCTGATTTGCTGCTGGCAACCATGGATATCATTCACACGCAGTACAAGAACTTAAAAGGACGCGATGGATACGCATTCAATACAGATGAGGCAAAAGAACGAGTGAGTTCCCATCCAAAATTTATCTCGTTTGTCTCCATTTCATTCGGAATTTTCCCCAATATTCATCAAAAATTCTTCTTTCTCAAACCAAAACAGCAATTGGCCATTTTGCGCGATCAGGCAAGGGCAATTACAAATATGGCAGCAACAGTTCCATACCGAATGCCCGGCGATATCAGCAGTCGATTGGTACAAACTGAAATTCTTATGCATTAAGTTTGTTCAACTGAAAAAATCTGTCTGAATTTTCTTACGTTTTAAAACAAATAAATCGAAATGAAAATAAAAAATGTTTGTTATATTTCTTAGCTGTTTCGGTGAATTTATTTGACATTCGATATGAGAATAACCTACAAGTTGGGAGCTAATATATTGGGAGTGTGAATTAATTCGTGCCGTTTCACAAAAGATGGCGTAACTAGATTATTATTCCATTATTCCATTATTCCATTTTTCCAAATATTCATTGGAAAGCTACTGTCATTACGCGTCTTTTTCAGTCTGTGTCATTTGATTGAAGCGTAACAATAACATTTTTTATTCAATTGGAAATGTCGAATTTCGTGCCAGATAAAGTGTTTTTACGGGGCGTTCTTCTTCATTGTTTTATGATGAAGAAAAGTGCAGCCGAAAGTCATCGAATTTTAGTGGAAGTTTATGGTGACCATGCTCTGGCTGAGCGAACGTGTCGAAAGTGGTTTGCACGATTTAAAAGTGGTGATTTTGGCTTGGAAGACGAGGAGCGGCCCGGACA